TACGTGTGATTCTTGGTGAGGAATGGCCCCGAACGCGGTTCTCTTAGATTCCTAAATCCCTACGTTAACCATTCTTCGATTATTTTTTTCTGGTATTGTAATTATTGCTATATTTTACCTTGGGTGAATGTGTAATATATTTTTTATACAGATATGCTAATTCTATGAAGTGACGCAATTTAAAGCTGTATAATCCTACCGAGGAAGCCCCTGAGAGAGAGAGAGAGAGAGAGAGAGAGAGAGAGAGAGAGAGAGAGAGAGAGAGAGAGAGAGAGAGAGAGAGAGAGACTGACTGACTGACTTTTTCCCATCAAACACCACGTTATATCTCAGAAAGAAATCCAGAACAGTCTCGTCTCTAGTCCGAATGAAAAGGATAACCTATAAACAGAAATTTATATTCCTGTATGAAATAAATTAGGCAGTAATGAAAACTGAAAATTTTAAAACAAACATGACCATTTTCTTTTGATGATTGGGTACCGAATATATCTATTAAAAGGGAAAGAATGCCAGAGGAAAAAAGTGAGGGAGGTGAGCAAAATACACAATATAAATCTCACAATAGACTCTTTGTGGTTGCTTACTTTTTTCTATGTTTTTAAGGTTTATTGCGTCTTGTCGGTGACTGTGTTATACAATAAATAATTTCGCTGCATAAAGAGAGATATTTCTTCATATTATCGTTATCATTATCATAAATCCTTGTACTATTATTATCGTAATACGTCATTTCTTGCATTATTACTTTTATCACCATTCTTGTAATGTTGGTTTTATCAGCATTTTATTCTTATCATTATTTATCAGCATTTTATTCTTATCACTGGTATTATGATTATTAGCATTATTATTATCATGATTATTAGAGATCATTATTGTCATGATTATTAGCATTATTATTATCATGATTATTAGAGATCATTATTGTCATGATTATTAGCATTATCGGTCACCTGTATACTCTATATCTGTTTATCTATCTATATCTTTCTTCTCTTTTCTTTTTGTGTTTGTTCATACAGTTCTCTCGCTACCGTGTTCTGTATTCACATAAGGACTACAGACTAAAACATTCCATTAATAACTACACCGCAAAACAAATTAAAAAACAACACAAAGTGCAGCTTATTAATTCCAAAGAGCACTTTCATAATCAAACGACTTGGGCTGATTAGTAAAACACTCGCTTTCGTTTCCTAGTCCTTTTGATTTCTTCCGGCTTCCTGACAATGAATATTCTAATTTTATTAACAATCCCGACAAACCAATAGTTAGAATAATTATACAATTTACGATGTATGACGTGCAGATCTGAATGTCATATATCTTTAATTGTTTAATATTTCACGCACAATTATTCTAACACACAAATACACACACATATATACATACATGGGTGTATGCAAGTACATACATATATATGTGTATATATATATATACATACATATATATATGTGTGTGTGAGCGCGCGCGCGTGTGTGTGTGTGTGTGTGTGTGAACAACACGTAGCAAGACCGGATGGCAGAGTCACACCTCGGTCCAAGCAAATGCCTTTCTCCTTGGGCAGGACGCAGGTGTTGCCTTCCTTTCTCTTTTCACACAGGATAAACATCCGCCCTCCAAGGAAACCGCCGCATAAAAGGGCACGTGCCTAAGACACAGGGAGACAGAGAGAGACACGGCAGACAGGCCAAGCGACACAGGGTCCAGCTCCACCACCTCGTCCTCCACCCGGGGACACAGGGGTCTCTTGGGGTCTCATATCTATCTTCAGAAATAAACCAGCAAGTTAAGACCCCTTTCATTGACCGCCCCAAGACCATCTCTGTTACGCTTACATCTAGTGGCTTGCGTGGTCAGTTACGCTTACATCTGATGGCAGCGGTGGTCACTTACGCTTACATCTGATGGCAGCGGTGGTCACTTACGCTTACATCTGATGGCAGCGGTGGTCAAGAACCTCACAACGCCTTACGCTTACCTCCTCGCCGACGCCGATCCATGCTATCTGCCTACAAGCTACTCCTGTTGAAGTGCCTCCTCGCCTACTTTAACGCCCAGCCATCGCTACCAAGTCTTCTTCGCACCATGTCTACCCTACTACTTCGTGCTGACTACTCACGTCTGTGCTACCCTCTTGACGAAGTCGCTGACGATATATTCTCGCACTCTACGCCGCCACACTCGCCAATCCGGCTCATTTACCTCGCTAAGTCTTCACGAGCCTTCGTCAGTACAACCATGGAGCCGCCATTCTACTCAGCACCAATACTTCCTAGCTACTATTAAAAGTAAGTGTATCTATTAGTGCCAGATTAGCTATTTCCCTCCCTATACCCACCCACACCTTGCATACAAGTTGCCTTCTTTCAAATTCAAGTACATGCCACTCAACGAACACAAACTACTAACTATAAAATACATAACTTCTCGCTGTCAACCATTGTTTTTTCAACACAACAAGCGAAGTCACACACTGAGATCAAACCTAAGTGACACCCACCCACACCTCCCACCTCATTCCCCTTCCCTAACCATACTTTAATTGCTATGGTATTTTTCTGTTATTGTATTTTATCTTATGTTTATTATTGTTGTTCTCACATTGCAGTTCATTATATTTTATTTTCTCTTAGGACAAATAACTATGTATTGATATGTTCGATTTTCCCCGTTATGTTATTCATATTTACTGCTACGATTATCGTTGTGATATTATTGTTTTCACCTGCATACTGTACCGTATTAGTAAGTAACTCGTTACTACTTCCTCTATGACTGTGCGTATATCGTTCTGTCTATCACAACACCTGTATTTACTTATAATCCCCACGCTAATCGTTCGCTTTTTCACACATAGGTTTAAGATACATGTCGATTACCTGCCTTAGGTCCAAACTCACCTACCTGCCCACCCTACACGGAATTCACTCTAGGATTATGAATTTTACTAAGTGTCATTCCTAAGACTTTTAACTGAATCCAAATCGCTTTCATGACACCCTCTCGAAGTTCGATATCTTATCATCATCTATGCTAGAATTTATGCTTCTTTAGTTTAAGGAATTGGTGAATATGTAACTTGTATCTGATTGATGGTAGGTAGTCTATTGCAAATGATCATAACGATGATAATGCATTACAGGACACCATACTTCATATAGGCTTACATAATTATTATCACCGCAAGTTAATTTTAAGCCCGGCTCATGGCCGTAACGAAAGAATCCTGCGCCCGCCGCACCGAGATATTACTTACGCTCATACGATTGAAGCGCCCGAAACGCGCACGCCCGGCTCAAGGCCGTAAACGAATGAATCCTGCGCCCGCCGCACCGCGATGTTATTTACTCTCATACGATTGAAGCGCCTAGACGCGCACGCCCGGCTCAAGGCCGTAAACGAATGAATCCTGCGCCCGCCGCACCGAGATGTTACTTACGTTCAT